GGGGCCCAAGAGAGGGACATCGACCTGGCACGGGGCGCCTCTGCCCTCAAGATAACGCCACGGGGCCTCCAGATGTCCAGACGACGCCCGCAACAAGCCGCCGAGAGGCTTCCAAGAGGACTCCGAAAAGGCCACTGGGAACCCCAAGGTGACCCCCACGAGCCCCCCCAGCAGGCAACACACATTGTTCCATGTGCTGTGTTTTTGTTGATGTGCTTGGTGCCCGAAGAAGGCGAGATGCCCCAAACGGACCCAAAAGGCCCCAAGATAGCCAAATTAGGCCCCGACAAATCTCCAACAAAGACCCTCAAGGCGGCACAGAAGGGCCCAAGACGGCCCAACAAGCTCTCAACACGGCGTCAAAACGGCCCCCCAACGCGTTTTGAGGCCGTTCGACCGGCTACGCGGACCCCCCACACGAGAACACCCCCTATAAAAGAACGGCGTGGACGACGACGACGACGACGCCGACGACGACGCCGACGACGACCACAGCGACGAGCGCCGCCTGCGCCGCGGCCGAGTCCACCGCGGCCGCCAGGGCTCGCGCGGCGGCGCGGACGCCAGAGCGCATCGCCGACGTGGCGAGCTCGGCGGGCGGGCAGCCGCCGACGAGCGCGGCGGCGGCGTCCTGAGGCAGGTCCGTCCACCCCCCCGGGGATCCCGCTGCAGTGTCCCAGCGGCGAGCCGCCGGGACGGCCCAGGGTCCGCCTGCAGCGGGAACGAGGGACAGCACTGCTCCCACCAGCCTTTTTAAGGGCGCGGGTGGCTTTAGGGAGTGTCCTCTTCCGACGCCCTTCTTCCCCTTCGGGGAGGGGTTTACCCCTCCAAGATGGCTGAAGATTGCCCAAGATGCCTCAAGATGGCTCCCAAGATCCGAAGTACAAGAAGCCCCAAGGACGCTCCAAGACGGTTCCAAGGGCCTCCGAGACCCCCAAGGAGGCCCCCAAGAGGCCAGAATCCTTCCAACACCTAGGGAAAACACATGAGTTTGCCTTCTCGCCTTTGCGTCTCCGATGGCTTTCGGAGGCCTCAAGATGGCTCTAAGATGGCCCAAGCGAGCCCCGAGAGAGGCCCAAGAGAGCTCTAAGACGGCCCCAAGAGCGCTCCAAGAGGGGTCCAGGAGGCGATTTGTGGGGCTCCCGAGGGGGAACGCTAATTGAAGCTCCCCTCTTCTTTGAACGATGTCGTCCAAGATGGCCCCAAGAGGCGCCCAGGAGACCCCAAGAGGCCCCAAGATGGCCCCAAGATGGCCCCAAGAGGCCCCCAAGAGGCCTCCAGGAGGCCCCCAAGAGGACCCCAAGCGGCCCCAAGGGGCCCCCTTGAGGCAGCCAAGACGCCCAAGAGCCCCCCAGGACCGCCAAGAGAGAAGCGCCCAAGAGATATCCCAAGAGGCTCCGAGAGGCATCCAAGAGACCTCTGGCCCTTTTGCTTGCCCTCTTACTCCTGTTCCTCATTCCTCCTCCTACTCCTTCTCTTCCTCCTCCTCCTCCACCTCCTCCTCCTATTCATCCTCCTTCTCCCCACTCCCGCATCCATCCATCTCCCCCTCCCTCCTCGCACGGTTCGGCCTTCCCCCTCTTTGCTTCCGCACTTCCCCGATCACCTCAGCTCGCCTGGACATCATTTCTGGATGGGCTGGTGGGGTTACGGCGAAGCGTCTAGAATTTAAGATGGTAGCAACGACGGTGGAGACGACGGTGGTGTGAATGATCATGATGGCGACAACGGTCTCATTAGAGCTGGGCGCATGGTGATGATATTGGCAATTGACTGAAGGTGAGGCTGATGGAAGTGTTGACGGTGAAGTTGGCTGATATGATTGGCCCAAAGAAGCTGAGCGCAAATGGCCACAGACGTCGGTCAGGGAAGATGATACCCTGAGATCCGACGTAGCGCAAACAATTGCAAGCTCGAAAAATTCACGCCCAGAGCCCTAGACCCCATCCTTCTGCGTCATTTGTTCGAGCCGGATCGATCTGTGACGGCCCCGGGGCCAGAAAAGAGGCGAAAAAACGCCCAGCTCGAACACAACTGCAACGCCAGGATCTCTGGGTACGTACACCTTCGCGTTGGCACACGGGGGCCTCTTCGGATCATCCCTCCCCCGAGCGGGTGACGGCAAGACTGGGTTTAGTGGGAACTGATTTAATGATCTGCACCGGGCATTCCACTAACCGGAATTACCGGCACCAGCTACAGCAAACCTGGCTTTGTGATCCCAATCCATATCTTGGGCTTCGGGACCCAATCACTAACCCGCTCCCCTTAACCGGGGTCCTGGCTTTAGGTCGGGCGTGTCCCCCTACAGGGGGATTTTGGACGAAAAATCAAAAATAGTCCAAAGATGCGCCAAAAATATTCAAAAATTGTTTGAACATTACCCTGTGACGTAACCAACCCTTTCTACACATGCGGCTGTTATACTCAGGACCACTCAATGCTGACTGGCATTCTGAAGGACCCACAGTGCGCAAGAAGAGCACCCAGCAGTGATTTCAGAAGAGCGCAGCAAGAAGAGGAACGGCAAATATACAAAATGGAAACACAGGGGCGTTGAAAGAAACGCGCCCATCAAGTGAACACAAAGAGTGAACACAAACGGAGCCCACGAAAGTGGCGACAATTGCGCAGATCGCAAGCCCCCCAGGGGGCGGCGAGGTCCCGAGGTGGTCCGCGTGGGACCCACCTCCGCTGGGCCTCCCAGGAGCCCACGAAAGTGGCGACGGTTGCGCAGATCGCAGACGGCACGAGAGAAGAGGAGAAGGAAACACAGGAGACAGGAGAGAAGGAGAAGAGAAGGAGAGGAGGAGGAGGTGGAGACCACACTGCTCTATTCAAACCGAGTACCGAACACCACAGGAAGGGGGGGGATCAAACCAACAAACAAAAACGTCCCCAGACTAGTTCTCTACGATTTTTGAACATACCTCCTGTAGGGGAACGCGCCCGACTCAGCCCTGGCTGCTTCTACCCTACTCCGGCGCGCGGGCTCCTCCGTCCGGTCCCAACGCCCGCCTGCGACCACGGACGCCCGCCGCACCGCGCCGCCCGCCAGCCGGCTCGAGTGCGCGGCCGCGGCCGCGGCGCCGCCGCGCTGCAGGCAGCGGGCCCAGGCGACGAGGGCCTGGGCGCCGGGCGGCGAGGCGAATCCCGGCGGGGAAGGCGGAGCTTCACAGCCGGACTTGATTGGACAGGACACGCGGGAGGACACAAGACCCTTCCGAGGGCCACATCGCCATAGGAGTGTAAGAAGGCACGCGTCGCGAGGCACAGGACACAAGGGTACCCTTGAGCTGGCAGGGTCGACCTACTAATCTGGGCCGACTGTAGGTCGGGCATGTCACCCTACAAAGGGTTTTTGTTGGACGAATGCACGCAAAAATGCACCCAAATGGCCAACAGAGATTCAACATCTCGTCCCCTGACTATTTTGGGACTATTTTCGAATTCTCCTCGTCGAACGGGACAGGCCCGGCTCTTGTCGAACATCTCGTCCCCGGACTATTTTCGAATACTCCTCTCGTCCTCCTCCTCCTTCTCCTCGTCCTCCTCGTCGTCCTCGTCGTCGTCGTCCTCCTCCTCCCTCCCATGAGCTTTTATAATGTCGGGGCTTCCTGGAGGTTCTGGCGGCCCAAGGCACCAACGTTACCTCCAAATGAACGTTGTGCGATATACTACGGAAGCTCAGCTGGCGATCCTGATGTGCGTGATGCCTTGGCAAATGCAAGCAAGCAGATAATCACTCAAACGCGATGGCCCAATATAGCCTTCAAGACGGCTCAAGATGGCCTTTAAGACGGCCAAGATTGCCTGCAAGATGCCTCCAAGATGGGCTCGATGGCCCCAAGAGAGCCCAACATGGCCCCAAGATACACCCAAGACGGCCCAAGATGCACCCAAGACGGCCCAAGATGGCCTGAAAGATGCCCCAATACGTCCCAAGATGCGCCCAAGAGCCCTCCAATATGTCCTCCAGACGTTTTTGACTGATTTTGGCATTTGCTCCTTTTTGGCCGTCCAACGGCCCGAGAGGGCCCAAGAGCCCCCCGAAATCGCCTCAATATGGCCCAAATGGTCTCCAAGATGGCCCCAGAACAGCCCAAGAAGCCCCCAAGAGGCCCCCACCCCAAGACGGCCCCAATAGGCCCCCAAGACGCCCAAGATGGCCTCCAAAAAACGATCCCAAGAGGGCCCAAAGTCGGTTCAGAGAGGCCCCCAAGACGGCTTCCGACGGCGTCAGACGGACCAGAAACGCCCTAAGACAGCCAACGAGGCCCCCCAAGAAGCCCCCAAAGGCCCCCAAGAGGCCAAAGGAGGCCCCCTAGATGGCTCCGAGAGGCCCCAAGAAAGCTCCCGGGAGACTCCTCCTCCTCCTCTTGATCTTCATCGCCATCCTCCCCCAAAAGTTCCCCGAAGGGTTTCCACAACGGCTGGGTGAAAACATGGTCCGACAGCTTGGCAGAGCTCTGGTCACAATTTTTGGACACGTGGGCGATTCCAAAAGGCAGGGGGCGGCGGTGATTCGCCGTAGGCGTCTTCGATATACCTGTGACAAACCCTCACGTGATGTTAGAAACCTCCCAGATGGGGTCAGGATAGATGGGGTCGGAGGATCTCGCCGCATCGGCGATACATCGGTGATGCATCGACGATACATGGGCAGCCCCTGCGGTGCAGCGGCGACGTCTGCGTGGAAAAGATCGGGCTCCACACCGAGCCGCACCCCCGATGTATCGGCGCTGCGCGATCTCCCGACCCCATCTGGAAGGCCTGGAGATACGCGCTGCTGCTGGCCCCACGTGTCGGGGATGGACAGAAACCCCTTTAGCACAGCGTGGTTTAGTGAAAACGACCTTGGGCCCAAACCTGGCGGGCGCAAGCCTGGAAAAATGACAGCCGCGGCGCCCTCTCGAGAACCGAAAACGGACGATTCACCAATCGCCGTGTCAGGGTGGGGGTTCTGTCCACCCCCGAACGTGATACATCCTCCGGGGAGCCTCGCGGGACGCCTCTCCCAGCAGCGCCGCGCGCCCAGTCGCGTCCTGCTCGCGGCGCGGCGCGGCGCGGCCGCGCGGAGCGGCGGGGCGCGCGTGCGACCAGCGGCAAGTCGAGGAGATCCCGCAGAGCTCTGGCGACCCCGATACATCAAAAACACCATATGGCTGGCGGACGTTTTCAACCTCCTTGGGCCGTTCCCAAGCGCTGGGGCCGGCAAGAGACTAGCGGTGATGGAAAGCTGGCCCAGGGGTCGGGGTCGAGAGCCCGGGCGGGGCTCCAGAATGGAACGAACAGCTGGGGGTACTTTGGGCCAGGAGCACCTGTAGCAACTCCCGATCTTTGCTCATGCCAGAAGAACTCATGGGGATCCCAAAACCGTGTGGTGACAGACCGTACGGTGACCTCGGAACCCCCAGAGACCTCACCGCACGGTCCGTCACCGCACGGTCTTGGGACCCTGGAGGCCGCAGTCGCCCGAGACATCCTCGAAGAACGACCCAAGTCCAAAACTGGGCGGTGACCCCAAATCCCCACCGACTCACCTGAAGGGGAACTGGGACACACAAATAAATACACACAAATAAACATATCCCCCATATTTTGCCATATTTTTGGGGTTTCTGTCTTCCCCCCCACTTCCCATATTTTCCCATATTTTCCTGGGAATCGACGAATAATTGTGTCTGTGTGTTTTTTTCCCTCCTGATCACCACACGGGGTGGTCACCACCCCGTTTGGGGGTCCCCGAAACTCGCGGGGCGGCCCACTCCTGCGCGGCAGCGGCCGGGGACCGACCGACGGAGGCACCCGCGCCCGGCGGGGCGCCCCGCGCTCCGGGAGCGGCGCAGGTCCTGCGCGGGCACGCCCACCACAGCCAGCGCCCCCAGCGTGTCCAACGCACGGCCTCGGCCAGCAGGCGTGGTCGTGTGGGGGTCTGGACAGACTGCCTCCACGCTCGGGGATCCCAACACATTGCGTCGTCCGTGCGATGCCGAGTGCGCGGATAACAGGCAACGCTGGCCGATCGGAAACAGCAGGTGGACTTACGTAACTGCTCGGCGCAACCAGCACCATACCTCTCACCCCAGACGAGCACATGTTGAATGCTCGGTGCGCGACGGTAGGCTGCGGTTGACTAGCAACAGAGCGAGCGAGAAAAACGTATCACCCCGCGATGGCGGGTGACGAGCAGGGGACGGGTGCGGCGTGGGTCGCAGGTGGGTCGCGGGTGGGTCGCGGAAAGGGTTGCGGGTGGGTCGCGGGCGCGTCACAGGGTGGGTCGCGGGCGGGCCGCGGGGGGGTCGCAAGCGACAATGACGACACCAGCGCAACAACAATCCGGGCCACGGAATCCCACTTCAGCCACGCACCCAAGGACAATGAATTACCGTTCGGCCCCCTCACTCTGATATAGGCATCCGTCCAGCGGAATATGGCATGTGCATCGATGGGGCATAAGCGGATTTCCAGAAGGGGGGCGGCATGGGCATCAAAAGCAGCAAATGAGAAACACATTTCCAGCGGACCGTGGGCATGCGGAAGCAAAACGATGTGCATCTTCTTGGGGGGAGGGCACGGGCATCCGGATAGGTCTCCCAATGCGCATCCAGGTGACAGTTCCGCAGACGTAGTGAGTTGGGGGGACCAGTTGGGAACCCCCTCCCCCTCCTCCTCCTCCTCCTCCTCCTCCCCCCCCTCCCCCTCTCCCTCCTCCTCGTCTTCCTCCTCCTCCTCCTCGTCCTCCTCCCCCCCCGTTCCCCTCCTCCTCCTCGTCTTCCTCCTCCTCCTCCTCCTCTTCCTCCGCCTCCTCCTCCTCCTCCTCCTCCTCATGGAGCTCGCGCAGGGCATCCCGCCCCCTTGGGCGGCGCACGGGAAGAGCTGGCCGCCGCAGGCCCGGCGGCGGCGAGGTCGTGGAAGGAGACCTGGGCGGGGCACGGGCGAGGGGCGGGCGCGCGGTGGCGCACAATGCGGCGCAAGCCCGCACGCGGTGCGGCCATGTGACGCCGCGTGGGCCTGCCATTAGCTTCCGCACACACAAGCAAAAGCACACAGACATGATGAACACACACACAAACACACACCACACACACAAGCACACGTGAACAAACAGCAGCACACACATCAACACACCACACACACAACACACACACACACACCACGCACACACACATACATACACAAACACACATACACAACACACACCACGCACACACACACACACACATTCTAGCGCGCCGTCCACGCCTGCGGCGAGGGTGGTTCCTGTTCCTCGCTCATGCACGCCCAAACCTCGCACTTGGCAAACTATTCGCAATCGGTTGGATGAAACATAAGATGAGCTCTTTCCAAACCTGCTATCTCAGAGATTGGGGCGACTAGGATGAAGAGAAAGAGGAGCCGCTTCATGCCACCCGCCTGAAGATCGTAATACCGACTCGCCTGGCGCGCCCGGAGTAAGCGGCGCGCCTGGACTAAGCGGCCAACGCTCCCAAATGCTTGACCACGCGTTCACTTGGTGCTGCCCCGTCCTATGTGCAGCGCCTCTGAACCTAGCTTTCACAGGAAGCTGCAAGGGCCGCGCCCACGAAAGCCCAGGCCACGCACGCACATGATCTGGAGGCGGTAGAACGACGCAAGCTCGGCAGCACGGCCGAAGGCGTGCAGAGCCTTGACGAAACAGCGCTTCGGACGTGAAAGGGTGGATGGACCGACGCACAACCCTTACCTTCCACCGCCGTCGTCGCCCCGGGGCTCCCAAAGAACGAATGCACACAATCGATAAAACAACCGTGATCGACAGAGCAAGAGCGGAGACATCCCGAGGAATACCTGGGCGCTCAAGCTGGAGAACCAGTACTTGCGTTTTTGTTCGCAGAGAACTCAAAAACTTGGCGAAATGCTGGTCCACCAAAACTTGGCAAAATCCGGCGAATTCGAAGTCGCGTCAGATTTCATCATCGGGTCCCGAAAACAAGAATCGGATTTCAATTTCGGTGTGCAACCACGCACGCACACACATGCGCACACACACACACACCCTACATCACGACGCACAAGTGTCCGAAACTGCGACCCTGTGGCCCTGACAAAACTCGATCTCGAGAATAAGGACATGTATTTCTGGATCTCGCGGTCGCCCCGATCTTGCACTGAACTGCCGGCACCAATTCCACAGAAACAGGTCACGATCAACACCATCAGCAACCCGGGGCAGGGACAACCATCGGAGAATCCGTCGTGAGACATGCCGCTGGTAGCCCACGCGCGCCATCCGAAAACGTCGCAGGGTAATCCCAATCGCGCACATGGAACTGCTGCGGCCAACTGCGCACCACGGCCCGCCAGGAGAAGGTAACGAGCTCACACACGCGCGGGCGCACGTACGAGGGTAGCAACAACCCCGCGCTTTATGCACGTAGCAGGTACACGCAGACATGCCCAGCGGCCGCCACAAAAGAGCCCCAATCGCGCCCACGAGGTCGGCATGGCCACCGTTGCAACGCGGCCTTCTGGGCGAAGGTGACGGATCCAGAGCAGCACGCCCAGGCAGAGAAGTGCACAAGCGACCACATAACCCACATAACTACATGGAACTTCACCGCCACGAGGACATTGGGGTCAACGTGCGCACGCAAGAGCCAATGAATAAACAAGAACTGCAACAGCACTGGTCTGGAAATGAACGTGCACCGCTGTCGGTGACGTTCGTCACGGCAGCGGTACACAGCAACTGCCTGTCACTGCTCCGTGCCCGCCGTGAGCACAGTTGGATGTGCATAAGAACTCCTAAGGGTCAATACCTACTTGGTGGCCACATTTGTAGTCCTCTCGAGATCGTTACTGCACCCTTCTAGCTGCGCCCCACTTCCATTCAGACGGCGTTCAACCTCTCGGGCGACATCGTGTCACAATCGAGATGCATGAATTCTCTGCGAGCCCACGACGTGTGCGCCGTCTTCACGGCTTGACGGCTAGCCTAGAATAAACCTGCAAAGTGTGCACTGCAAGCCAAAACAACTGCGTGTGCTCAAATGTGCGTGGTGTGCAAAAACGAGGCGTCAAATACTGAATGCGTGTGCGCTCCTACTTCCTGGACCTGCACACGTATGCAGAACCTATTATCAAAACCGTTCCCCTAGACAACGAACGAAAAATCCCTAAAGACATTAGCCTTGCTACAAAATCTACTATCGCGTTGATGCAAGAAGCAGGCACGCATATACACGCACACCAACACACACACACACACACACACACGCACGCACACAATCACGCACACATACATACACACGCACACAAACACACACTTACACACATGAGTACACACGCATACACACACACACTCACACACACACACACACACACACGCACGCACGCACGCACGCACGCACGCACGCACGCACACACACACACACACACACACACACACACACACACACACACACACACACACACACACACACACACACACACACACACGCACACGCACACGCACACGCACACACACACACACACACACACACACACGCACACACGCACGGCAACCAACTCCGACGTGCACGCACATTCCAACGAACCGCCTGTTAGGCGCGATCGCAAAAACGGACTCCCACCAGACTTCTGGGCACAACTGGTTCAGGGTGCGCATTCTTCTGGCCCCCGTCTTTCACTTCGGGAGAGGCGGATCGCCCTCCGTCTGTCCACTTCCCCGGGCTCTGGACTGTCCCCTTGTGCTGGGCCAGAGCGTCCAAGATGGCCCAGGATGGCTTCAAGACGAGCTCGGATACAGCAGGGGCTCGACCACAAGAAACCTTCCACAAGAAACCTGACCCTGGGACCCCAGGACGTCCACTGATTTTTGGTGTGGGAGCGTCACGTTTTCCATAGCAAAGCCACCGAAACCCAAGAAACCCAGCGCACCCTGGAGGCAAGCAGGGTGTTTCTCGGCATGGGCTTCCACTGTAGTCTGAGATGGCGCCAGACATCCCAAGATGGCTCTCTAGATGGCCCCCACACGTGCCTCCCAGCAGCCAGCGCACCGCTCCAAGACGGCTCGAAATGTTCGCGGAGCCTCCCAAGGATGCCCCTAAGAGGCCAGCATTCATCACAGCAGAAAAAACTGACAACGGTTCCCCCGCGCAGTGCTTTCACTGAGGGCCTCTCTCATCACCGTCGACATGATCGGGATGCGCCCCTGGCTTTGCGCCCCTCGCCCGCCCGTCGCCGCCTCGCCGCCGCCCCGTGTGCTGTGCTGCGTGCCCCGGCTCTCGCCCGGTGCCCGAGTGCCACCGCCTCGTGTGCTGGCATGCGCTTCCTAGATCTCGCCAGGCTCGATGGCAACCCATGGGAGCCTCCCATACCATCTTGTCGGCTCTTGCGAATCGACGCTGCTCGACGCTAAACCGACGCTGACTCGACGCTCATCGACACTAACCGACGCCAAAGCGGCGCTACCTCATCGACTCCCAGACGCCATCGATGCGAACCGGTGCTAAAAACTGATTTGAAAGACGAAACCAATCTCCCATGATTTGGCACCGAACTAGAAGAAGACTAAACGGCATAAGCATAAACTTTTGGCGCTCCGCCCGGATTTCTTGGATCTGCGCTGGACCTCCCTCCCTGGCGCGCGGAGCGCGCCAGGAGCGGCGCCGGAGGCGCCGCCAGGAGGACCCTGCGCGGATCCAATAAATCCGCGCGGAGCGCCAAAACATTAAGAGGAGGAGGAAGAGGACGAGGGGGAGGACAAGGAGGAGGGGAGGAGGAGGAGGAGGAGGAGGAGGAGCAGGAGGAAGAGGAGACCTCGACGCCGCCCCGAGGCTCGGTGCCCTCAGGGGGCCCCAGAGCGGATCCAATAAATCCGCGCGATGCGCCAAAACATTATGTTTATGGCGTTCCTGCTTCTTCGACCTGATTTACTACCGAACGCTTTCCAAATCTTGCCAAATGCCCGCCCGTGCACCGCCTCGTCGCCGCCCCCATCGGGGATCTAACTGACCCGGGTCCATCCACACCCGGGTCGGTCGGGCACCGCAAGACCCAGCAAGATCATGCAGGATCCTGTCGGATCCTGCGCCCAGGCCCGGGTCAATGCGACCCTGGCCCTGCAAAGTCCTGCAAGATCCGGCGCTCTGGCTGGCCCCCGTCTGCGTGCACCCCCGTCTCTCAACTCCCGGCTCAACTCGCGCGCCAGTATGCGCTCCCGTGTTGTCGCCCGAGGCCCGCCAAGTCACCGCCCCTTCGCTGCTTTCTTGTCCACTGGCTGGCGCTGCCGGGCTTCGCCCCCGGACTGGCGGTCACCGATCCGCAAGCCGTGCCAGACAGCTTGCCCCACGAATATCACACCCCACACAATTCCACCTCCTCCTCCTCCTCCTCCTCCTCCTCCCTCCTCCTCCGTCCTCCTCCTCCTCCTCCCTCCTCCTCCGTCCTCCTCCTCCTCCTCCTCCTGCTCCTCCTGCTCCTCCTCCGCCTCCGCCCCCCCCCTCCACGCACAAACACATACTAGTATTCATACTACATGTCCTCCTTGGAGGCGCGTGTCCGACGCGAGCAAATCGTATACCCCTCGCGTAGTACATAAGTTTCCGAGCGGTGTGGCCAGAAAGCTCCGGCTATACGATTTCTCGGAGCGCGCGCTACCCCTCGGGGGACGGCGCACACATAGTATTAGTGTGTTGGGGTGACGCCGACATACTACTTGTCCTACAGAGAATTAGAATCGATCCACCCCCGTACCGAGACAAGACGTGTCGGTACCCCTCCGCACATTGCTGGTTATCTTCCTGCACGACCGCTCATCCCGCATACAACAATACCTTGCCAGCCGATTTGGTATCGATCCTCCCTCACTTAATCACAGAATGCGAAGCGGTGCACACGAGTTGAGTAGACAATGATCATCTATGTATATGTATATATA